TGTACGAAGGTGTGCTATTTGGCATGGAATGGCCCATATACTTTTTTTTTATTTATTCATTTATCTATTATTTATTTTTCAAGTTAAAACTCGTTAAATTTACCAGGTGGCAGCTGGATATGATTTTTATCACTTTTGCAGATTTGTAATTTAGCCTGTTCTCAACAGAACTTAACGGTGCCTGATTCCTCGGTTTGTCATAATCCCTACTTTTAAATACATATTAAATAATTCAAGTTTGGTAAACAGTTTTATAGATATAGTAAAAACAGGATTCCAGACAAGTATAAAAAATGAATTTTTAATTTCTTAGAATTGTTTCATGTAGATTTTGTTGTTTTGCAATACATCAAAGTTTGGGAATGGTGTTTTTTGCTATCAAGAGTTAGGAGACGGAAAAGAATGTGAAACTGAAAAAAAAAACCACTGATTTCCTCGTGACTTCATGTATGTTATAAAAGAGGAACCGTCCTGAGGCACTTTTAAAGCTACAGACAGTGTCTATAAAAATCCGGTGCGTTTTAATCTTTGAAGATTTGTTATTGAACTTATATTTTACTCTAAAATATTAACAAATTATTACCCATGGAATTATAAAAAGTTAATTTCACTCCAGTACTTTCTGTTTCTTGATATGCTGTGGTTTCTAGGCTCCCAGGCTTGTAACCTTATTGTATTTTTTAAGGTTTGATTACGCAAGCGAATTTGAGCTTGACTTATTGTTCTTTCTTAAAAATTATAGAGTAGTTAAGAGAATTGCTTTGGTAATACAATTTCTGACTTATTTTCTTATTTCTTCAAGAGCAACAACACTGTAATTCTTCACCTTAATCCGAATGAGCGGATTACTTAAACCAGACGAGTTTAAATTTATTTTTCCTAGTATTTTAAAGTGTTTATAATAGTTCTTGTTTTACTCGCTCAGAACTAAATGCTCACCGATGTAAATGACTTTATTACAGGACGTTTTAGGCAGTTGAGTATTTTATAAAAGGACTGCTTTAGAAACTATCTATTTTCTGGTACTGAAAAACAATTAGAAGTGAAACCAGACTTTGATAATTCGGAAAAAGAACGGGGAATTGCTTCTCAAATATATGGTGAGCTGTGCCAAGCAGACATTCTTCTAAATCACAAATTCTCTGATGCATTAATGCGATCACAGTTTTAAATTAATTACCAATAGTTATTTTACTGTTTAAATATTATATGACTCTCTTTGAACATTACAAGCCAGCATACATCGATTTTTGCTAACCTGTAAGCTCCAGAGAATTTTTTCGTTGTTATTATGCTTTTAAATCTTTCGTGAAAAAGTATATGTTTAGTAGAGACAACAGCTTTAAAACCTGCCGGCTTTCCATATAAATTAGGTCCTAAAGAATTTTTTAATTTAACCTTTCTCGCATCCGAAAACTTATTATCAATCTTTTACCAAGATGACATTCAAAAATATGTACTTCACATAAATTTGTGACTTTGAAAAAAAATTGAGTAACAGCGTTAAAATATTACCTGTTTGTTGAAAAAGAAGTTAAAAACAAAAACTGTATTTTTTTCAATTTTTGGAGTAGTTTACAAGTGCTAAACTTCTTCATTTCGTTTTTATATAGACTTGAAATAGTTTCATTTCTCAAAGAATTATCAAACCGGAAACAGAGGTGCAGTTCTTGTCTCTGCTTTGTTGCTAAAATTGTTGTTGCTTACGAATCCCATATTAATGAATTGCCAAGGCAATTGCAGCAGTGTTGCAGGAAGCGCAAATGCACCATAGCAACCGGTAACGCAGCTATTCAACCCAACGATCCTCACCGGACCTAAACAGACTTTTCAGCAATTTCTTGTTAAAAGAATTTCGATTGTCTTTGCTAAATGCATTCAATATTTCAGCTTAGAAAATTTATGTTATAAATTCTGTCATTAGTCTTGCTGCTGTGGAATATTTCGTAAAACGACGCAGACGTAAAGAATTACAGGTAAAGTAATTGAAACCAGCTTTCACTATGTTCTATTTATTAAACTTATTAAATGTAAAAATTTGCTGCTTTACTTCCGTGTCAACTCTCTCTGCTAAATTAACTGCTCAAGATGGATTATAAAAAAACGGATGATGTTCGAAGACGATATATTCTTCGCATAGCATCACACATATTCGCTGCAAATTTTTTTGAAGAGAAATTTTTGGATTCTCCGGCCCTAAATAAGTTTTGTGACAGTTCTGCAATTTTACTGGTTTTCAACAGAAATGAAGAGGTACGACTTAAACAGAATAATTAGTCTATTAAACTAAACGTATTTTTTTGCCTAACATGCACCATCCAGTATTTTAGAAAAATACGGTGAAATTAACTAACGAAGTTGAGAAAGGTACTGCAAATACGACGAGGGTAATATTTTATAAAAACAGACAGGTGGTTTTAACACCAGAAAATTTACGCACTGTCATTGCCATAATAACACAACGAGGAACCTCAAATGAAGCATTTCTGAACTCTCTACAACAGGTTGTTTTAGACTGTTATGGCTGAACTTAAAAAATAAACCGTTTATTAATAAAATGGAAATAACTGTTGCTATCCTACTCGTAGCATGACTGAAATTTGTGTTAAAAGTTTAATATATAAAGAAGCACTTCAAAAAGACTACTAATACTGCAGCCGAAAATCGTTTGCAAAAACAGGACATTAGGTACTTCAGGTTTATACCAAAATTTTGGAGAGAGATGATCACAATAAGGCAGATTTACACCTCCTAAATCTGATCGGCGAACTTTGTGAAACGCTAAACGCAAAGATTGATGC